TGATGCCGTTACGAGCTGAAGCGGAGCTCGGCCGCGTCCTATTTTTACCTGGAGTAATTTGGTTTTGAGCTCTGGTCCGTCTGATCTGTGGGCGTGAGGCCCCGGAGCTCACGTTAAAACGAGCTCTCCGGGGAACGAGGAGCTTCACTGCCGCCGCGCTTTCATTTCAGCTTCATTTTCTGGGTTTGTTTATCCACGAGCGCCCACTTCGTCTTGCGCGAGGCTTTTGGAGACGGAGAGGCTGAGTGAGAGCGGCGGTCGAGGCTGAGTGAGAGCGGCGGTCGAGGCGGTAATGCGAGGACGGTGCAGATTAGACGTGTCACCGGGCGTATTTATACTGTCCCGTCTCTCAGTATGAGAGCACGTGTTAGAATGGAAGAAAGAAATGATTTTTAGATGAAGAGGAGTCGAGGAGGGGAACAGAGGAGAAGATCAGAGGAAAAGAAGATGCAGAGGAGAAGGTCAGAGGTTGCAGAGGATGCAGAGGATCAGAGAAAAGGAGCAGAGGAGAAGGTCAGATGGAGACGTAGAGCAGAGAAAAGGGGTCAGAGGAACAGAAAAGAAGGTCAGAGGAGCAGAGGATGAAGAGGAGAGGAGCAGATGGAGAAGAAGATGCAGAGGAGAGGGTCAGAGGAGAAGAGAAGGTCAGATGAAGCAGAAGAGAGGAGCAGAGAAGAAGGTCAGAGGAACAGAGGAGAAGGTCAGATGGAGAAGAAGAGAAGGTCAGATAGAACAGAGGAGAAGATCAGATGGAGAAGAGGAACTGAGGAGAAGGTCAGATGGAGAGGAGCAGCAGAGGAGAAGTTCAGAGGATCAGAGGAGAAAGTCAGGTGGAAAAAAGGAGCAGAGGATGAAGAGGAGAAGAGCAGAGGAGCAGAGCAGAAGAGGGAGAAGGTCAGATGAAGTAGAAGACGTAGAGGGTCAGATGGAACAGAGGAGAAGGTTAGAGGAACAGAGGAGAAGGTCAGAGGTTGCAGAGGAGAGGAACAGAAGAGCAGAGAAAAGGGGTCAGAGGAACAGAAAAGAAGGTCAGAGGAGCAGAGGATGAAGAGGAGAGGAGCAGATGGAGTAGAAGATGCAGAGGAGAGGGTCAGAGGAGAAGAGAAGGTCAGATGAAGCAGAAGAGAGGAACAGAGGAGAAGGTCAGATGGAGAAGAAGAGAAGGTCAGATAGAACAGAGGAGAAGGTTAGATGGAGCAGAGGAGAAGGTTAGATGGAAGAGAGGAACTGAGGAGAAGGTCAGATGGAGCAGAGGAGAAGGTTAGATGGAAGAGAGGATGTAGAGAAGTGGGCCAGAGGAGCAGAGGGGCAGAGGAGAAGATCAGATGGAGAAGAGGAACTGAGGAGAAGGTCAGATGGAGCAGAGGAGAAGGTCAGATGGAGAGGAGCAGCAGAGGAGAAGTTCAGAGGATCAGAGGAGAAAGTCAGGTGGAAAAAAGGAGCAGATGGATGAAGAGGAGAAGGTCAGATGAAGTAGAAGACGTAGAGGGTCAGATGGAACAGAGGAGAAGGTCAGATGGAGCAGAGGAACTGAACAGAAAGTCAGATGGAACAGAGGAGCAGAGAAGAGAGTCAGATGATGCAGAGGAACAGTGGAGAACGTCAGATGGAGCAAAGGAGCAGAGGACATGGTCAGATGCAGCGGAGGAGAGGGTCAGAGGAACGAAGGAGAGAGTCAGGTGGAGAAGAGGAGCAGAGGATGAAGAGGAGAGGGTCAGAGGAACAAAGGAGAGAGTCAGATGAAGCAGAGGAGCAGAGGAGAAGGTCAGAGGAGCAGAGGATGAAGAGGAGAAGGTCAGAGGATGCAGAAGAGCAGAGAAAAGGGTCAAATGGAGCAAAGGAGCAGAGGAGAAGATCAGATGAAGAAAAGTAGAGGGTCAGACGGAGCAGAGGAGACGGACCAGATGTTTCACGGTTTCTCGGTTTCTCGGTCCTTCATCCAGAGCTCACGGTGCTACAGACGACTCTTCTTCTTCTTTCAAACGCATCAATAAAACAATATCATATAAATAAAATACGACTCTGACCGTTAAAGCCGCCGGCCAAATACACACACACACACACACACACACACACACCGACACACACACACACACACACACACACACACACACACACACACACACGATGCACCTCAGCTGGTCTGGACTCTGGCTCCGTTGCCGCGGCGCCGACCAGAGTGTTTCATCATAAAACTTTATGGCACTAAATAAAGAGCGAGTGTGTGTTGTTCATCTGAGTGTCGCCGGTTCATTTGTTTTTTCAAAATAAAACCAGAAATGACAAAATGAAATAAACAACGATTTTCTTCATTATTTGTCTCCAAAATTCAAAATGAAAAAAATGATCATGATTTGTTTTTTTTGTTTTTTTTCTTCAGTTTTTCGATTTTGTGTTTAAATGAAGAATGGAAAGAATGGATTAAACCAGGACCGAACCAGGACTAAAACAGGACTAAAACAAGGATAAACCAGGACTAATAAAGGACTCTCAGTCCTGGTCCTAGTCCCGGTCTAGTCCTGGTCTCAGTTCTGACCACCCGACAGTCTATGCGGGCACATCTCCAGGCCCGTCTCAACACTCAGTCCTGGTTTAGTCCTGGTTCAGTCCTGGTTCAGTCCTGGTTCAGTCCTGGTTCAGTCCTGGTTCAGTCCTGGTTTAGACCTGGTTTAGACCTGGTTTAGTCCTGGTTCAGTCCTGGTTTAGTCCTGGTTCAGTCCTGGTTCAGTCCTGGTTCAGTCCTGGTTTAGTCCTGGTTCAGTCCTGGTTCAGACCTGGTTTAGTCCTGGTTTAGACCTGGTTTAGACCTGGTTTAGTCCTGGTTTAGTCCTGGTTCAGTCCTGGTTCAGTCCTGGTTCAGTCCTGGTTCAGACCTGGTTTAGTCCTGGTTTAGACCTGGTTTAGACCTGGTTTAGTCCTGGTTCAGTCCTGGTTTAGTCCTGGTTTAGTCCTGGTTCAGTCCTGGTTTAGTCCTGGTTTAGTCCTGGTTCAGTCCTGGTTCAGTTCTGGTTTAGTCCTTTATCCGTTTTTTTTCCATTTTTCATTTAAACACAAAACTGAAAGCTGAAAAAATGAATCATTATCTGTTTTTTCATTTTAGTTTTGGAGACAAATAATGAAGAAAATATATATTTTTTTTTCATTTTCTTATTCTTGGTTTTATTTTGAAAAGCGTGTGAAGGACACTGTGTTTGTAGTTGAAGAGGAGTGTGTCAGGTGTCAGTGTTGTCGTGTTTTACTCCGCAGAGTGTGACTGGAGCTGTAACTCCTGCAGAGGCCCCAGGAACACAGACTGTGTACAGTGTATGGACGGACACGTACTACAACACGGACTGTGTACACAGCACTGCAGTACTGGATACTACAGAGAGGGGGAGCACTGCCAAGGTATGTACTACTACTACTACTACTACTACTGCCACTATGACTATTACTACTGTTATTACTGCTATTACTACTACTAACTACTATTACTACTACTACTACTGCTACTACTACTACTACTACTACTACTACTACTACTACTACTACTGACTATTACTACTGTTATTACTGCTATTACTACTACTACAACTACTGTTACTACTACTACTACTACTACTACTACTACTACTGCTACTACTACTACTACTACTACTACTACTACTACTACTACTACTACTACTACTGCCACTATGACTATTACTACTGTTATTACTGCTATTACTACTACAACTACTATTACTACTACTACTACTGCTACTACTACTACTACTACTACTGACTACTACTACTACTACTACTACTACTACTACTACTACTACTACTACTACTGCCACTATGACTATTACTACTGTTATTACTGCTATTACTACTACTACTACTACTACTACTACTACTACTACTACTACTACTACTACTACTACTACTACTACTACTACTACTACTACTACAACAGAGAGGGGGAGCACTGCCTTTGTATGTACTACTACTACTATTAGTACTACTAATACTACTGCTCCTCCTACTACTACTACTACTACTACTACTACTACTACTACTACTACTACTACTACTGCTACAACAGCTACGATTACTATGACTACTACGACTACTAATTCTATTACTAATAATAATAATACTATTACTACTGCAACTACTATTACTGTGTCTGCTACTATTACTGCTCCTCCTCCTCCTCCTACTACTACTACAACAACTGCGAATACTATGACTACGACTACTATTACTACTGCTACTACTACTACTACTACTGGTACTACTACTACTTCCGCTACGACTACTGGTACTACTGCTGCTACTAGTACTACTACTATTACTACTGCTACTACTACTACAGAACCCAGACCCCCCGATCTGGGTACATACTACTACTACTGCATGTACTAGTACTACAGACCCCTGTTGAACATGTAGTAACAGGAGGCGCCAGTGGAAAAAAATGTTGTTGTGTCCTTAGGCAAGACACTTCACCCACATTGCCTAGTATGAAAGTGTGTGTGTGTGTGTGTGTGTGTGTGTGAGTGATGGTGGTGGTCGGAGGGGCCGATGGCGCAGATTGGCAGCCGCGCTTCCGGTCAGTGGATTCTGCTCCCGGGGCAGCTGTGACTACAGTAGTAGTTTACACCACTGAGTGTGGAGTGACTGAATAATGAACTGCAAAGAGCTTTGGGTCTTGAAAGACGCTGTGTAAATGCAATGATTAATCACTGACTTCTCTTCCTCCTCTTCTTCCTCTTCCTCGTAGCGTGTGACTCAGACTGTGACCAGTGTCTGGGTCCGTCTCTCTGTCAGCTCTGTGCGTCTCCTCTTGTGGCTCTCAGGGGCCTCTGTGTGGAGCAGTGTGGGCCCCTGTACTACCTGGACCCCGACGCTCGAGTCTGCAAACGTAAGCAACACAAACAACAAACGCAAAATCAAATTATGTTAATACAAAGAGAAAACTATAAAGAGCCCCAGTGTGTGTGTGTGTGTAAACGTGTGTGTTGTGCTTCGTCCAGCCTGCTCGTCGGACTGTGAGGCGTGCGAGGGCCTGGGCCAGTGCACCGTCTGTGCTCAGGGCAGCTTCCTCATCCAGGGATACTGCACCCCCGACTGTGGCCACGGTTTCTACGGCGACGCCAACACCAGGACCTGCCACGGTAAATACTCCACCATACGGCTTTAAAGGGGTTCAGAACGTGTCTCAGAATCAACAGCTTATGTCACTCTGTTCTTGGTGAAATCCAGTTTTCATGTTTCCAATTAAATGTGACTCATATGTGCCTGAACGTGAGATTTTAAAGCTGCTGTCGTAGCGGAGCCAGAACATGCACAGCTTATTTGTTTTAAGGGGGAGATTGAGAAGGAGAAGGACGAGGTTTTTGGTCATGTTCTTTTTTGGGGCAGTGGCAAAAATGTCCATAGACGGGAACGTGTGGATGCAGGGTCGGAGACAAGAGTGGTGGAATCAGCGATCTCCCCAAATATTGATTAACTCACTAACCTCGCTTTCCCTCCATTGACTAAACTCCGAGCCTTCAGAGCCTGAAAATTCTCTTTGTTGCATTGTCGTCCGCCTTGGTTGTGGCTTTCTTCCAGTTTCCCCCAATCCTGATTCATCAGCCGGTTTCACTTCGTAGAAACCTTCTGACATTAGGATTCGTTCGCTCGACAGTCGGCGGGTACTTTTTTAAATTTAACCAATCGCTGCTGTTTGGTCGTGACGTTTGTAATGCTCCAAATCCCGTAGGAAGAAGAACAATAACGTCTTTCCTCTTGATAAAATTCACCAAACATTCTCTTTGTTCCGGCTTTAAATCCTCGATCTGGGGAATCGTTGCCGACACAGAACGTCCGTCTTCGTCTACGTCCATCTCGACGCTTTGTTTACTGTTGTGTTGTTTAACAAAAGCGACACAGACAGATTTTGACGTCATGACTTCACAGCTCACAGCTGATTGGCCGGTGTGCGCTCTATAGCTTCCGGAGTTCTTGCAAGCTGTTTAGTGTATCATATTTTCCGGGCTATTGGTCGCTCTGGATTATGTGGCCCTCTGTCATTAAATGGTCTATTTTTGAACTGTTTTCACAAATAAACCTCGTGGGACTTTAAAGGTTGTATAGAGGATTTTCCAAGGAAGGAGAAATCCAGCGACTGTTTGTCCTTTTTCAAATGTTGCTCCTGCGTGAAACCACCCCCCCTCCCCTACAGCTCCTACGTAGAAACACCTCCTCCCTCCTCCTCCTTACGCCAGAAACAGGTTTGTTTACAGCCGGTGCTGCACATGACTTGTAAACAACTAACTACAGTGTTGGTTAGACAAGACGGAGAAGTGAGGAGAAGTGAGGAGCAGAAGAGGGAGCAGGAGAGAGAGGAGCAGGGGGAAAGGGGAGCAGAGAAGAGTTGCGCGGAGATTCAGTGCAAATGAACTAGCTACAACACGCAGCAGCAAGTGGACTCTTTCTTTGCCTTGAAAATTACGTTTTCAGACATAGGATATCGCTTTCGTGTCCTGAAAAACGTTTGTCTAACTCTTGGAAATAAAGTACGTTTTCATAATAAGCAGAAGTTTCCTGTCCAGGAGTAATTTGTGGACCAGTGCTTCAGTCTTTAGACCCTTCGTCTGCTTCAGTTCGCGCCATCGCTGGAATGAATCTCCAAGAATCACCTTAGTTTGGCTTCGCTGCTTTTCCCCTTGTCTTCTTCTTTCAGCGACCTCAAAAACGGACTTTCTTTTGCGGCGAACTGCTCCTGGATTCTTGTCGCCATTCGCAACAAACTTTGTGCGAACTGCGAGGAAGATATAGGTCAAAAAAAGCCGCTAAGAACTGTTGCGTTGGTGGAGTAAACAGCGTCTGTGCGTCTTGCGTCTGTGGACTGTGTGACAGTCGTACGTAAACCACGTACCGGCGGCGCAGGCAAGTCAGTTACACTAGAAACGTAGGGAGTTTGATTGACAGCCTGTCAGCTCACAGATAACGAGGCAGTGTCGTTATCTATTGGCAAATGTTTAGCCCCACCACGTCCAGAGTTGATGAATTTTTATTCTCTTTTTTTTGGTCATCATAATTACAAGGCGACTGCATCTCTATAATCTATCATTGACAACTTGAAACAAAAAAAAATCCTCCATACAACCTTTAAATGAAACCCAACAGTGTGATGGGTGAGTGGTTTTGTTTGTTTGTTCGTTCACGGTGACTCTGGGCTTTGTTCAGTTGTGGCGTGTAGGGAGGGTGTGTCTGGATTGTCGGCGTGTTCGCAGTGACTCAGTTGTTCCGTCGTGTCTAGAAGCGGCACGTTGCGCTCGTGGCTTTTCCGGTTCGTTCCTCCGTTCCGTTCCTCGTCGGCGTGGAGTGACGAGTGCGTCTGTGGGTGTGTTTCTCTGTGCGGTCGCTGTCTGCTCCGTGTGTGTTTGCGGTTTTGTAGTTTATTGAAGTCGTGCTGGGACGCCCGAGTGGATTCGTGTATGGGGCGCTCTGGATTGTGGAACACGCCGTCTTTTTTGATGGGGTTAGAGGCTTAAGAGTGCGTCTAATAGCCCGGAAAATACGGTATTCTGATTCCTGACCTAGTCTCTGGAGAGAAATGAAATTAAGCGGAGACACTAGGTTGTGCCAGCCTGACTAATTTCCACCTACTTCAGCGCAGAATAGTGACGTTTGTGTCTTGTTGATAACGTGTAGGTGGATGAACCGTTCACACTGAAGTCACATGTTCAAAAGATCAGATATGTATCAGTTTCAGGAGCACATATCCAAGTGTCCTGGGTCACATTTGAAAAAAAAAATCATATCTGTGTCATTAAAAGATCAGATACAGGAGCACAGGGGCCAAAAAATGGGATTTGGGTCACTTCAGGCTGCAGTCTGAACGTAGACTTCATTGGTTAAAATTGTCTGTCCATTGCAGTTGTTTGCTTAGTTTCTCATCGAAGTTTTCAGTTTTCGCAGATTTTGTCGCAGCTGCTTATTCGTACATTTTACCGAGACGTTTTCCTCAACTAGAAGAAACACAAGTCTGGTACATGCCCCTTAAATATATTTTTATTAGAGTACTTGTATTTTTATTGTAGTACAAAAAACTGATGTTGTGCATCAAGTTTAATAAGACGAATTATTATTATCAACAAGTAATCAAATAGTTTCAGTGTTTTTTGTGTAGTTTTGTGCAGTGAGGAGAGAGGCTGGGGTGAGTTTTGCTTTTGTATAATCTCAAAATTGAAAAAACACCTTTCTTATTTATTTATTTGTTGAGAGACAGCACATATTAATGAATATTTAAAATGTAAATATGTAAAGATTTTAGCCGGCGGGGCTCATTTCCATCTTCAGTCCCTCAGCAGGTCGATGTCAAATCATCCAACCCCCAGGCCTTGGATCGTTTGGTATCGGACTGCACGGAATGAATAAATAACTTACATTATTTCCGTTTATTTTTTATCACACTTGTCGCACGTCCGTTTGCTTGTCTTGGTCACGTGACACATTAACGCTAATATTAAACCCACAAGCTGCAAAATGAGTAAAAAAAAACGACGACTTTTGAAACGTTTATTATTATATTTACAAAACTACCACAGTTTTTGTGTTGGTCGTATCATTTTATTTTGTTGTATTTATCCGCCGCACCTTAAAAGCCGAGCTGTGAAAATATCGTCTGACATTAAACCGGTCTGTTGATTATTAAAAACGTTGTGTACCAAAATTAAATCTACATATTTGATTTTGTTGACCCAGTTAAGAATTTTATATTTGTCAAGTATTCTGCAAACGTGATAATACACGCATCAAGAATCTCAGACTTCTGGACATTGCGCAGTTCATACTGGGAAGGATTTTCCGAAAAAATGAGCATCAAACCTCCATGTTTGTTTTCCCAGTGGGACGTGTCTATTGTCTAAGTCGATCTTTTCAAGTCTTTTGAACCATATCACTTTTGTTTCTGGTTCTGATATTGTCATATTTTAGTTTTGGGATTCGGACATCGTAATTGTTGTGGTTGTTGGATCCTAACAGCAGAAAACAACTCGAGAAATGTGTTTGTGAACTCCATAAATGCAAAAGTGAATCAGATGTGTGTGACTCAAACCTCTGTTCAAACTGTTTCTCTTCCCAACGGAATTGAAAAATAGTGAAAGGTGAAGGTGATGGGCAGGATTGATCCACAGGAAGAACCAAAAAGGAAACATTTGTCCTGACTAAGAAATCATCCCGAGTTTACAGAGAACATTTTGTATGTGGAGCGACAACAAAGTAAAATCCCGTTTGTTAATGTAGAGGAGCAGAAGACAAACAGACTGAGCTGCACTTTCTTGTTCTTGTGGTTTTACAGAAACATCACGTCTTGGTCTCTTTGCAGTGGAAGGTGTTTCTTGGTGAACAGTTGGAGACTTTCACTTTGGCGTTGACTTTTTAAATTCGTAACCGAAGTTGAGCGAAGGATCGGGATTTTGTTTTTGGTTTGAGTCACACACATCTGATTCACTTTTGCATTTATGGAGTTCACAAACAAATTTCTCGAGTCGTTTTCCGCTGTTAGGATCCAACAACCACAACAATTACGACGTCCGAATCCCAAAACTAAAATATGACAATATCAGAACCAGAAACAAAAGTGATATGGTTCAAAAGACTTGAAAAGATCGACTTTGTCAATAGACACATCCCACTGGGAAAACAAACATGGAGGTTTGATGCTCACTTTTTCGGAGGATCCTTCCCAGTATGAATTGCGCAATGACCTGAAGTCTGAGATTCTTGATGCGTGTGTTAATGGGCTTTTTGTTTAATACCTTAAGTGCTTTTTTTTTATAAATAGGAGTAGTTTTGCTTGTCAGAGTCCAACGTAATCATGCAGTGATTTAAGTGTTGCTAAATCACTGAATTTAAGTATATAATTGCAGAGTTTGTTGTTCCATTATTTTTTATATGATGAAAATGTGATCGATTATATTTTGATTCAGTGTTGTTTCGATAGTTGTAGGTCCAGTGTAACTCCTGATACTTCACTTCATGGACCAGTTTCAGTTTGTTCCAAGCATCTAAGTCTGTATCCACGCCAGGTTTTTATTTTTTATTTATAAGTAAATAAATAAGAATAAAAATAAAACTGAATCAAATAATCATTACTTGGTTTATACAGAAGCTTCAAAACATT